ATGACGTCTTAGGCCGCGGTCTCAAATAAGTGTAGGCAGCGATCAGCGTAACGCATTACGACGCGTGAAGCTGCTGTATATTAGACCGTATTGGAAAAAGGACAATGATTTCTTCTGTATTGTCTATAGTTTACGCGAGTAGTAAAAATTTAAATAAAACACTCTTAACGGCATAAAACGCGAAATATATTAGTAAACTTATTAAGAATTTTTTTTTTTAACTACGCCTAAAAGTTTTGGGGAAAAATTTTAAATAAGTTGCCTAATATATTCACGTTTTAAGCCGTTAAAGGCTTTTATTTGAAAACTATCCTTCTTCTCGTTCGATTTACGCCCTGGTTTTACAAACTCATAGTAAATGTAAGTTTTGAGTCTTATTCTAAACTGTAATGTACTGTAAATGTATTTTTTATTTGATTTTCAAAAATAATACAGTACTAGTACAGAGTGGCAGATAACAACTGTACATTTCTACTATAGTATGTAACACAACGTGTGACACTTAACGCGTTCTACTGCGTTTATAGCAGACCACAGCCTTACACGATAGATAACTATTACTTTATTGTGTCAACGCTCTTAAAGTATAAACCGAACCCTAGACTGATAGATTAGCCTCATATTTCTTTCACTAAAGAACAGGGAAGATGGCACAATTCCACATTACAAATTCCAAATACTTTGTTCCGAAATGTACATTGTCGGACAAACTATTTTTATATCCCCTGTGTATTGGAAGTGAAGTAGGTATACAAAGAGAAATATGGAAGTTATAAAATATGTGATTATATTTATATATTTCTACATTTGGCTAATTTTGTCTTGACTAGACCTTTAGTAAAAAGCTATACAAACAATAACAATAATGATTTCAATCGAAATTCTTGAATAGTCGTAGTTGCCATGGATACTTTTACTATTTACTATCAAACTGTAAAACCCCGTTTTCCCCCACTGGGGCAAACACGTTTCTCTATCCTTTTGTGGGTGATCAGATGTCTGTGCCTTTCCTGACCAAAACAATGTTTTTTCCCTCCAGGATTCGAACCTAGAACTCTTCTGCTACACAAAACTAGGCAATGCGTTGAACGGAGTCGGTCACTAGCTGGAATTCTTAATATGATCTTAAGTTAATTAATACATTTTGCGTTTTAAACCGTTAAGAGTGTTTTTACGTACCTATAATGTTAAACAATATGGAAGAAATAAATGCAATAATTACATAGGTAATGTTTTTTCAAAACATCAAATATTTAATTTGCATCCTCTTAAACGGATTTACCGTCACGCAAACAGACCTATTCTTAATCTCATTACCAATATCCGTTTTACTTTCTGTGACAGCTTCGACAATATCACACCTCAACTCTCATCCTCTATTTACAGAGATTTGCAAACAAACTTCCATAATATTGTCTTTAATATAATCCTGGAATAAAAAATTACCTTCCCAAGTTGTTCTGACCACAGAGCGTGAGGTAATCAGCTTTTCTATGTAAATTTATTGTTTGGGAATAATCCCACCCAGTCGTGGTTGATGCTGTATCGTAGGATTCATCCCAAACTTGTTTACTGCTGATGGATTTACGACACAGAGATCCCCTTTTTTACTCGGAATCAATAAATTTGTCGTAAATTGTATTGTGAGGCAATACAGTGCAAAATCGCTTAGCTTTTATTTTTGCAGTCAATGTGTGCATTATTTTATGATTTATGGTACAGAGAGTCAGCTACTGTTGTTCCATTGTCCAGCTTTAGATTACGTTTGGCTTCACTTCTATTGGATTTGGACTTGAGCCGGGTTAAGCTAGGGAATCTCTTTAGAGTCACATTGTCATAACTATTTTGTTAAAGCCAATCTGTCCAGATTTTAATTAAAAACCGTAAGACACAAAGCACAGTTAAAAACTTACTATACAGTTATAAGTCATATGCGATGAATGAAATTCAATTATTACCTCTTTGTTCTTTAACGATTCTTTTTAGCTTCAAAAGTGAATGAAATTTTCAATACATAAAGGTTTATCCATATAATATCCACTACCTATACTAATATATAAAGTTGACGTGTTTTTTTTGTTAGTTTGAACGCGCTAATCTCAGGAACGAATTTAAAAAAATACTTTTGTGTTAGAGCTTTTGGGAGTTTCCGATGCGTACGGTGCGAAGACAGGTCAAGATACCCAAAAAATATCTATACGCGACACTTGATGTCTTAATACTCTCTTTTAAAGTTACGCGGGTTACTTAAATTTATAGAGTACAGGATTTAGGGCATCCAGAAACAAATTTGGATAACTATTTCTGGACATTATTGACTAGTTATTAAGTTTATGTTGAAGTTAGACCTTAATTTGTAAGAAGCTCATTATTTTTATTTAAATGACAGCTACTCTATTGCAAACGAAATGACTATTAACAATGATTATTAGTATCTTAATTTACTTACTATTTATGTTACTTTACTTACTTTACTTACTACTTTCCTTTCTTTCAGTTCTATTTATTATCGTCAAAAGCCTCCTATAGCAGGTGACCCAAAATATTTACGCAGCAAGTGAATAAAAACAGCAATTCCGGCTTTGCAAATATACGTATCGATAACGTTGACCGGAAAACGGTTTTAAAGTTGCCCCATCCACTTCGGTGGTCCCTTATCGCCAATGCGTCCAGTGTCACTTCTACCGAGGCATTTCACCTTTTTATAGCTCTACTCTTCGCGACCCTACATTACAAGCTTACGTTTATTGCCCCGTTCTGTACCATCAACTCTAATTCGTTGTATTTAAGTTCAAATTCGATTGTGTTCGATCGAAACTGTGTGTCACATTACTTTTTTACATCTATAGTTTTATCTCAGTCTACTTTCTCACCTTTTTACGACGCATCGTGTGGTTCGAAGTGTCTTAGATACAATTATCGATTACGTAATGTTATCGGCGACGATCTTTTGTCTTCCGGTACGATTTTTGTTGATTTAGGTTCGTTCTTTTTAATTTAGTGGCGCTAGTATCGATGGTCGGTTTCCTGTTGCACTTGTTACATTTCATGTTTATCTATTTGTTTTTGGTTCATTCATTAATTGTTGTGTGGGGTTTTCCTGATTTTCAATGTAAGTTTGAAAGTCCGTTTTGTGTTGTGTCTTAGTAACTTTGCTTCGTATTTTGTGTCTTTATTATCAATCATTTCCACTTGGTGAATCATGTTACAACGCTTATGAAAATTAAATCCCGTTGCCCTCCGTGGAGAATGGGATGAACATATTTCTGTGTCCGTTTCATTAATAGCTTTTAGGTTTTATTTAGCTCGGCTCGATCGAAATAATCCTTTGTTTCTCTGGGTTTGAAGCCTGGACCTCTCGCGCTTAACGAAATACTAGGCATCATGTTTAACCGTTGAATGATTAGGCAACCTAGGGCTTTGAGTCCTGTCTGTCCCGTAAAATATTACGTTCTTCCGCAGTTCAAACCCATTATAATAATGAGCTAGGAGGTTGTCGTCGACATATACTATCTAGATATTTACCTTTTTTATTACCCACAGACATTTCTCAAACTATTAAGCAAACAATAGGGGGCATAGTGAACGTAATTTTATTGCCATAGACTTGCGTTATAATTAGAGATGGGTCGAATGTCGTTTGAACCGAAACCGAATTTTAATCGAACATTTAATTTTGATTACAAGTTTCACAAAATTTTGCCAAATTTGTTATTTAAACTCACTGATAGTCATCAATAAATTGTCCCTTTTGAAATTTTACACATTTTCATTCTACTACTCAACTTTATTTCGTTCACAGAGGATGATATTATTATGAAACAAAGCTATAATTTTAGTACATTTTGGTTTAATAGATGTCCCTAAATGAATAATAAAATAGTACAGGAAAATCCGTTATAACAAAAATAAATTGATGGAATATCTGTTTTTTCTAAGCAACCGATTAAAAATTAAGACACACAATTAAAAGGGGTATAAGTGACAGCAGAAAGGTTAACTAACTTAACTAAGTTAATTAGTTAGAGGTAAATAGCACGCACAGGAAATATGGCACAATCCCTTTAATCCGAATATAAGCCCATCCCTATCTATAATCACTAAATTAACCGTTTATATCTCACTCGTGCTCTACCAAACAGTTATCCTTAAGATAATCTCATATTACCAAGACAATAAACAAATAAGACGTTATAATATTTCTTTAGAAATTATGCGATAATTTAAATGAGTGTAAATTTCAACGCAACGAATATAGCTACTTCAGTGAGAAAATTATAAGACGTAAATAAAGTGGTCGGTGTCGCATTGCATACAAGCAATCTTAAATATGTGCATATTGTACCAGGTGGCTCATAAACACGTCTGGATAATGGAAAGAGAACAATTTGATATTTCTTTTAGAAATTAATTTGCGTTTACATTCGGTGGCTACAAGATCAACTTTCAACGTGCATCGTATAAGGTACTTTATCTCATTCTCATATAAAAAGAGTTAAATAAATAAAACACTTTTGACGGTTTTATACGCGATATGTATTATAGGTTAACTAATAGAATGCGCGTTCTAAATAATAAAAGGTGTTTAAAGTCCTTGTTTAAATATTGCCTGTAGCTCACAAAACCGAAACGTTGTACTTATAAAATACACACATACATTACGTTTTAAATGGTTGAAAATGTTTTATTTGAACATTGTTGTCCACTGCTGGACATAGGCCTTCCCCATAGACTTCCGTTCTAGTCTATAGTAGTACGATCGGTCGTTCGCTAGTTGAAGCCAGCGTTACCCTGCTACCTTGACCAGGTCGTCGGTCCACCTGGGGCGAGGTCGTCCAGGTTTTCGACGTCCGGTACGTGGTCTCCACTCTAGAACCTTTTTGCCCCAAGGGTCGTTAGTTCTACGAGCGATGTGCCCAGCCCACTGCCACTTCAGCTTGCCAATTCGATGGGCTATGTCAGTGACTTTAGTTTTTCTACGGATCTCCTCATTCCGTCACCTAGAGCGTTCCCAAATACTTCATGAAGAACTGTGGCCTCGAATGTGGCCCGGGGCGGCCACGACGGTTGTGGCTTATCGGGGTCAGAATATCTTTGAAGGGCCGTCCTCTGTATTGGTCTGGGTGGGTGTATTGAACCCCCACTGGATGTAGAAGCACAGTCGGAGCCGTCGCCGCTGCCGTTTGATGTGGGACTTGTGGAGTGATAGGGCGGCCGAGTCCCAGGGCTCCAGTTAGCATATTGACATCATTCTTCTTGTCGTTGGGTAAAGCAGATGATACAAGTTCGGATAGATTGGTACCGCATTCTAATTGTATTTTATATATTATTATGTGATATATACCTACTATTTAAGATTAGGCCAGTTTTTCTCGCGCTGTTTTCAGTCACCAAAGCCTTTACAGACGCGAAAAAGGGACTTTTTGAAGGGATTTTTTAAGTCAACTGGAATCCCAGAAATTAATAAGTTTATATTATTAAATTAACCCGTCAAAATTGTTATTGGATTTATAATGATCAATTATTATTTTAGTTTTCTTAAAATCCTCAATTATTTTCACGTCTTACGTCATCAAACTAGATTTATAATTTCAGAAACATGATGGTATATGAATTGTATACTTATGCAAGTGATTGAATCACCAAATTGAATAAAAATGTATAATGTGTATAATTATATGCAATAATGGGCGGGGCGTCATCCACCAACATTATAGTGGCTGTTTTAAAGATTTATTCGTTTATAAGACCATAGCGTAGTTGTTTTTAAGTTCCTTCTATTTTTTGTTTTACAAATCATGGTATTTCGAAATTTCCGAAATAAAAAAAAGGTCAACAGCGCATTCAAATGGTATACAGCTTGAATTTTATCTAAGAACCCTGTCTACAACAGCTGCCATAGACAGCTTATTTATCAACAGACAGACAAGCAAGAGGATCACTTCATGGAAGGTAAAACACCCCCAGCCTTTTAGCATCTGGACAAGATGAAATTAAATATACATCTTACACAAGAATATGTGATACTTACACAAGTATCACATATTCTTATTTTAGTATCGCATACTCTTTAGATATACTGAAAACACTTTTCTTTTTTTTTTATATATATAGTAAGTCAGACAAAGAAAACAGACCTTAAGTTTATTGTGATTAAAATAGGGAAAATATTTTTACCACTATCACTAGTTTGTATAGATTTTAGTTATAACAGATGTGTATTAAATATATAAAACTTGTGTGTAAATAAATACTACTTTTATAAATACTAAATAAAAAAAGGTCGAAAGTTTTTCAGAAACCCCATTTTCAGAAATTCTTACATTGATAAGAAACATGTCTGACCTCAGGAGTTCGAATCTACGACCCATTTCTTAACAGTACAATTATACCAACGAACGCGTAGACATCTTCCTTCAACTACGTTCTTGCATGGTAAGTATTAAGTAGCATGTAATAAGAAATTGATTTTTTAATGAATGTGTACGTAATAAAGTATTCCTTACTAATTATAAGGTCCCATCTTCACGCTTGACAATTCTCACGACAAATTGCCGCCAGGCGAGAGGGGTGCAGCAAAAAAATTGCTCCAATTCTACACAAAACCACTTTATTGCGACTAACAAGGCGACCCTGATGTTATCATATGTATTACTTTCATCCTATATTGTGCGCCCTTATAATTGTTAAGGGTTGGATTCTATGGAGACACTTTTAAGAAAGAAATAGAACAGATCATTTAAACGGACATACCCACAGGCTAAATAAGATTATCCTAAGTTTTTGTATTTTTCACAAGATGGCACTATATAAATTAAAAATCGAATTTATTATTTTTTCGAGCACAGAACGCTGTCGATGGTGGTTTAAGTCGTGCCCGTGTCGTAATTATTTTTAAAATCTCAATTCGAATTTCATTAACTATTTTATCTGAACCTATTTTTAGTCTGTCTCGTGTTTTAACTACTAATTTTTCTTCAAAATTGCGAAAGTGCCAATTGAAACGCTAATAAATTGTATATATATATATATATATATACAAATTTTAGGTGTCGTGTAAGCCAAGCTTAACAGGATTTTTTGTAGATGTTATCGATAATCATGTCACAAGTTTTTTCACCTAAAACCACACAAGACAAAATGGCGTTACCATTAGATTATCACGGGCTTGTGGTGGGATTATTACTTCATTTTTTCTCTCGCCTACCTGTCCAGAGCCTTAAAATATTAGAACGGATAGGCCAACGCAACCACAAATAAAGACCTCTCCACGCGTTGAGTAAACTTAGATGTGGAGCCGCGTTTTAATGGTCGCATAGATCCAAATTAAAAGGGCAAGCAAGCTTCTTAACCGGGTAAATATTTCGTTTATTGTATTTATTAGTGATTTATCATAAATTCGTGGTAGATAAATACGCTGATAATAGTTCAAATGTTTGTCGGATTAGTTAAGACCGATCTGATATGTTGATTCAACATTGTTGTGCCATGAGCAATCTTAAATATGTGGGAACATCAGCTTCCGAGATTTTTAATATGAAATTGAAATCCCATTGTTGAATGGAACATGGGGTGAAGGCTCAGTCAGTAAAATCAGTTTTACAGGCGAGTTGTTGATTACTTCAACGCCCTGCGCGATCAAAATGATTAATTGAGACAGTGAATATAAATGATATATATAAACTTATCTGTATGTCCATTACTTTCACCCCACAATATGACACAATTTTGTTAGTGATCTATACATAACGACAAATATATATCTACGTTCCCGCTTAAAATGCTAAGCCGAATTTCAAAATCACGGTTCACGTTTTTCAGACAAGATATACAAGATATCGCTTATAGTTTTATTTATCATGTATGTGTGGAGTCCTGGCACCTCTACATAGGGTATTTCTGTGTGCCTTTCGTGCCTTGTTCAGCCGAAAAAATTATTATGTTTCACTTCTTAACCCGATTTTTTCACTATAAATATTACGTTAGCTTATTGTGTTTAAGCACTGAGTTTTAACTGAGTTAAATAAGTTAATACATCTCGTATTTTAAACCGTTAAAAGTGACTTATACATTGCAAGAATAAGTGTTATTATTAGCTACCGTAATATTTATCTAAAAATTGTTTTATTTAAATGTGTACCTACTACTTGCGTACACTACAAACATTATTTATTTTTAAAAACTTAAATTTAAAGTTAAGTAAATTATGCAATATTTAAGACTCCTAGTACTGTTAGAAACATCTCAATTATTGTGTTTCACAACAGGATGTTAATAAAAATGTAAGCATATCAATAAAACGATATTTATGTTTCTGTCAATCACACCCACGCTGAGTTAATGAACGATTTACTTAAAAATCCTCGAAATGTTTGTTCATTTCTGATTGTTATGTTGACAAATGACGTTAACGACATTTTTGACTTCCAGTTTTAAGGTCCAATTGTGGCATTATATCGTGTCGAAGGGCTCGATACACAATATGAAAAAAGCCGCGAAATTACTGAATTATGAAATCGTTTGATTCCGTCACAAAAAGATTATCTTTTAAGACTATAGAATTTCGAGAAGTCTATAACGACTTTAATAATAAATTAAGGTAATTTTGTAATTTCCTCGTTTTAATCACAGTCTAATCTAGATTATAATAATAGGTTAAACAAACGACGAGCGTGACTCGGTAGTTAAAGCAGCAACACCAATGGACACGATGTTTCAATCTAAAATAGATTTTAATTTCGTTTACTTTCGTTATCACAAAGATTTTAAATTATCTATTGTAATAAGATCATTTACACCAACACAGTTGTTACAGAAGACTAGATTTTAAAATTGTGTCGTGACACCTGCGCGTGACATTTCAGCAATGATCTCATCTCCATTTTGTTCGCTCGTAAACGTAAAGTGCACATAAAATTCAATTGATACAATAAACTGTTGGTAAGTAGAAGACAAAAGAGTGTTGCAATGACTTACCCTTTTAAGCCACGATTTTTGTGTCTTACCACTATTAATATGTAGTGTCATATTATAGTAGTAGTAGTAGTAGTAGTATACGTCAATTCAGTTCTTGTCTTATGCACGTATAATACTTGTTTCTTGGGTAATTTTTGTCTAATTATAAAAAAAATACGTTTAGTTGGAAGGATTTCTGTAAATAAATAAAAAGACCTTGCTAAAATGAGTCAGATCCTAAAGATAAATGCGTTGCAGCTCAATCACTGAACGAAGTGGGTTATTTATTGGTGTAGATTATCACAACAAATCACGGCGGTTCGGGGTCCCGGAATCATTCCGTGTAACCTGAGAACGCCCCTTTACATTTGATGATTGGACAAATAAATATATTTCCCGTATCCTGTTTATCGCTGCTCTGGTGTTAATAAAAATGTAGAGGCAGTTGGGCATAGTTGGATCTTTTTACGGTTTTATTAGACAGTTAAACACGAAACAATAGGCTAAAAGATGACACATTTTTTCTAATATCCGTTATATTTATATATTATAATATTTAATTGTGCGCTTGTAAAATAAATATCCTTCCCTTTTGGTTGGTTGGTATGGGATTTTTGTTCTTGTAAAGTTATATTAATATTTGTATATATGTAGGGAGTTTTAAAATTTAAGAATGACGGGATGTGGACGACATGGTTACCCTCCACAGCTTAAATTTATAGAATTGGACAGGAGGCTTCCAAAACAATTTTGAATGACAAAATAACTATACAACGCGGATAAAGTCGCTAACACAGCTCGTATTGTATATAAACAAAGATTTCATATCTCTAAGTTAAAATATAGTAAAGGTCTAAAGCAGGATTAGCTAAATAAGAAATAAAGAGATTGCATATGCCACTTACGCCCTGTATCCCCCGCCGAAGTGAATGGGCCTTGTACAGGGTGGTCAGCGTCCGTCGCGGTATCACTTCCAATAAATTAGGAGCTAATACACGCTTTGCCCTTACAGAAGACTGGTCGTGCCATCTCGGCACTAATGTACTATCACGATAATACCTTCAAAAGCTCTTGTATACATCTTAAGCTATGGCAGAACAATTTCGGTTAATATAAAGGGTCTTCGTTCAATTCAGCAGGTCTTTTCACCCAATTAAAAATTGAAAGATAGCTTTGCAGTAATACACAAAATAAAATATACCTTATTTTATAATGTACCATGTCTGCAAACTAAACTTCATAACTACTTGTAATGGTACAGTGGTCAGTAGATGATTGTTTTATT